AAAATGGAAATGGAAATGGAAAGAGAAGGGAAGGGAAAGGGAAAAGGAAAGGGAATTAAATTGGAATGGAATGGAAATGGGAATGGAATGGAATGGAACAGAATGGAATGGAATGGAAAATTCTTTTTCCATTTTATGGGGAAGGGAAGGGAAATTAAAATTGAATAGAATGGAATGGAAAATTCTTTTTCCATTTTCTGGTGACAGCCATACAGAGGACAATCTGAAAAAGCCTTCTGGAGGGTGTGCAGGATTTGGAGCTATTTTCAGTGCGTTCCCCTAATACATAAATACCCCATTTTTGGCCAACATTAGACAACCCAGGATGTTCATTCAGCACCAAACATCTTTTCATATTTTGCTTACAGATGTTCAGAACAATTCTGTTGCTGTGTATATTCATAAGCTTTTAGAAATCTGCATAGCTCAAGTGGCACTGAAATCAGAAGGGAAGAACTCTGCTGTTGTTATTCATAAACTGGGGATGTACAATTACCATATAAAATACACAGCTAACGATGATTTCCTTAAAAACGGGGTCGTTTATGGGCTTGTGGTTCAGGCTGTTCACATGTGAGCAGGTCATTTGGGTTTGCTTTCAGTTGTTTTCTTTGTTTTATCTTCAGTGACTGGAATGTAAGGAAAAATAAAACATGTCTGGTTATTATATGGTATTAGTTAGAAGGCTGAGATTTAGTGAATTAAACCAATTTATAATCTTGTCAATTCTCATCTTTCTGAGGCATTTTCCCCTCCTGCACAAATCACAATTTCTAATAATTGCAATTCAATATAAAAATGTGCCACATAGACTTTGTTTCTGCTCTGAGTTACGTAAATTATTTGGCTGTGAAGTTGTTTCACATCTCCTCAGCAGCAAATTCATGTTTTTCTGAGGAATACTAGTGTCTCTTGCTTAAGAATTAGTCTTTTGACTGATTCTTCCATATTGGATTTCCAGTTCTCCTTAAAATGTCTTGGCTTCCAAAGGTCACCTGGAAGGCTTCTAAATAGCTGCTGGAAGAGAGTGGAGAAAGGGAAAATTAATTTCTTGCTCTGTTACCTCCTGTTCCTGTGGTCAGCTGGTGATTTCCCAAGTTAATTCCATAAGCCCAGAGCGGGGTGGTGGTTGGGATGTTGTTATTTAAGGGTGGAAAGGAGTGGGGAGGGTTTGGCTGGGTAATGTGGGTTTAATTTTACATATTTGTGCATAAACTGCAGATATTAAAGGCAACAATGGGAAATCTGATGGGAATTTTGCAGGAGTTGTTGATGGCAATAGAGAAAAAATATGTAATATAGGAACATTCTTGACTTCTCAGATTCGCCCTTCCCTAAAAATGCAGAAGAATGTCCAGTGACAAACCACCAGCATGTTCATGGAATCCTGGTATCTTGGAATGATTTTGGGTGGGAAGGGACCTTTAAAGCTCATCCAGTCCCACCCCAGCCATGGCAGGGACACCTTCCACTATCCCAGGTTGATCCAAGCTCCATCCAACCTGGCCTTGGACACTTCCAGGGATCCAGGGGCAGCCACAGCTTCTCTGGGAATTCCATCCCAGGGTCTCCCCACCCTCCCAGAGAACAATTCCTTCCCAAAATCCCATCCATCCCTGCCCTCTGGCAGTGGGAAGCCATTCCCTGTGTCCTGTCCCTCCATCCCTTGTCCCCAGTCCCTCTCCAGCTCTCCTGGAGCCCCTTTAGGCTCTGGAAGGGGCTCTGAGCTCTCCCTGGATCCTTCTCTTCCATTCCCAGCTCTCCCAGCCTGGCTCCACGATGAATTTGTGACTCTCCTGATGTTCAAACACGTTCAAACCCTTGGAGAACCCTTCAGCTGGACACAACTCTTCCAAAGTGGCTCTGGTTCTCCAAAGTGTTTAAATGTATAATTAAACTACAAATATTCCCTTCCCTTTCTGCAGCTTGTAAAAGGGATCTGAAGGTTTCCATGGACAGGAACTAAGTCCACAAGATTAAAGTTTCCAAGCAGTAATGAGAGTGGCTCAGAACATTTTCTTTTGTTATTAAATTGCTGTCAAGAGAATAGATTCCTGTTGTGCCTTTGTCTGGTCTTTTTCTTATCCTTATAAGAACAGGATATAGGAATTTTAATGACTGTGAAGAATCTGAGTGTTCACCGTGCCCTTGATCTGTGCCTTGATAGCATTGGCCAATTGCTCCACCTCTCCCCTTTTTATTTTCCCCAAGTTCACCTGTGAGAAAGGATGGAAAGGTCAGACAAAGTACAAAATACTGCATCAATCAAAGTTAATGTCATGAACTGTGGGAACTACCGTTTTGTGTATTTTTTGTAGCAATTGAAGAACAGGATTTTGTAGAAAATCTGTAATTTTTTTGTTAACTAGAACAGTTGGAACAAGTTGTGTGTCTGCAATCATGAGATTATCATCCTAGGATCCTCCTGGATGTGCATCTAAACCTTGATATGACCCTAGAAACTATAATTTGTCCTCCATACAATTGCTAAGTCAGGGAATAAAATGAATGTAGCAATTTCACTTCAAAAATCGTTTGGAAAGGTGATGGCAGATGCTGCTGCAACGATAAAACCTTGGCAGCAAGAACCCAACAGATGCACAGAATTTCACTTACCTGCTCCTCTGCAGCTCTACCTCCAAATTTTCAAAGCTGGCACTACTGACATGTTTTTTATCAGCAGAGAGGTTGACCAAGAAAACTTTATTACACCTTAAAATGGATGCAGAAATGGAATCTGTAGATTTGTCATTTCAAAATGAAAGGCAGAAAAACGATTTGGTTTTTTTTTTTTTCCGGTAAATAAATGTTAAATAAATTTGCCATTGCCTGGAAAACAAAATGCTCCTTGTCCACAAGGGATGGCAGCAGCTCTGCTCCATCTGTAATCAAGGTTGAGTTCACTTTTCCATCTCAGAATTTGACTTCTCAGGGTTAATGTCTTGTCTGGCTCAGGCTTGAAGAAACCAAAGTGATATTTATTATTTAGATACCTGATTGTGCCTCGTGGCAAATTTAAAATCCTAATAGCCTCACTGCTGTCCTCTGCCCCTTTCATCTATTTATCCCAGCATTGCCCACAATCACAGGCTTGGGTTGTAACAGCAATATAAATACCAAATATATTATTTATTATTAACAACTTTATTTGAATTGTATTCCACTGAGATGTGTTGTTTCCATCTTTCCTGTCTCCTGCTTTATTAAAGATATATATATAAGATGAAAATGTGGGAGCCCCAGAGGTTGAGAGAGCCATTACAGAGCAAGTCAAAGACAAAATCTTCTGACCTGGAGCCTACAGGAAGCTCCCAAAGGAGCTTCATTTTCAGAGGAGGCTCCTGCAGGGTTGGGCTGTGATGTTCCCTGTGTCACTGAGCCTGAAAACAGAAGATGCAGCACAGAGCTGCTTCTTTCTAAGTATCAGAACACTTTGTATTTGTGAAAATGGTGTTATAAAAATGCTCAGTGCTCTTCTTGTGGCCAGTGGGGGAGTTCCCTAATTTTTGTTCTTTTTGTTTTTTGCTGTGGAGACCTTGCAAAGAAAAAATAAGGTACAAAGGCAGTTACTCAGTGTGAGCTCAAACTCTGCTCCCAGAATTGGTGGTTACTACAGGTGGTAAATATTGGGAATAAATCCTTCCCTGGGAGGGTGGCACAGGTTGCCCAGAGAAGCTGTGGCTGCCCCTGGATCCCTGGAAATGTCCAAGGCCAGCTTGGAGCAACCTGGAATAATTCCCATAGTAGAGAAGGTGAAAAGGGATGAATTTTGAGGTTTCTTCCAAACCAAACCACTGTCTATGAAAACAGGGAGAAGCTACAGCTCTTGGGAGACCATGACTCTGGAATTAAAGCAGGTGATGGAACATTTTGGCATTTTCCCTGCATTTCTTGTTTATTG